ACAAAGAATGGTGGTAAAGGAGGAAGAGTTTGAGGTTATCAGTCACTGAGCTTGGAATCGATGTGTCCAGTCAAGATTGATGGACTGAACACATCGGTTCCAGGCTGAGGGACTGATTACCTCAAACTCCTCCTCTTTTTCCACCGTTCTTCTTTGTATTGGACTGATTCCCAAATGTTACACAAATGTCTCATTCTTCATCTTGCCTATCATAGACCTCTTTTTATGTTCTTTTGTTCTCACTGCCTTCACTTTGTGGATCCTCCTCTCAAAAAAAATGAAGAAAAAAACTCAAATATTTCCACTTCTAAACTCAAATGTCACCTTGCTTGTTCACCTCTTACTTCTTCCTTTTCAAAATCGTTTCTCAAGCTAACACACTCCTCTATAACTTCTCAACAGTTACTCTTGTTTACTCTATAACTTCTCAACAGCTACTCTTGTTTACTCTATAACTTCTCAACAGTTACTCTTGTTTACTCTATAACTTCTCAACAGTTACTCTTGTTTACTCTATAACTTCTCAACAGCTACTCTTGTTTACTCTATAACTTCTCAACAGTTACTCTTGTTTACTCTATAACTTCTCAACAGCTACTCTTGTTTACTCTATAACTTCTCAACAGTTACTCTTGTTTACTCTATAACTTCTCATCTCTTACTCTTGTTTACTCTATAACTTCTCAACAGCTACTCTTGTTCACTCTATAACTTCTCAACAGTTACTCTTGTTTACTCTATAACTTCTCAACGGTTACTCTTGTTTACTCTATAACTTCTCAACAGCTACTCTTGTTTACTCTATAACTTCTCAACAGTTACTCTTGTTTACTCTATAACTTCTCATCCCTTACTCTTGTTTACTCTATAACTTCTCATCTCTTACTCTTGTTTACTCTTACTCTTGTTACTCTCCTAACCAGAGTATCGTCTCTTTCTCCTTATCAGAGTATTGTCTCTCTCTCTCTCCTCATTAGAGTATCGTCACTCGCCTCACCAGAGTATCGTCTCTTTCTCCTCACCAGAGTATTGTCTCTCTCTCCTCACGAGAGTATCGTTTCTCTCTCCTTACCAGAGTATCTTTTCTCTTTCTCTTCTCACTAGAGTATCGTCTCTCTCCTCACCAGAGTATCGTCTCTTTCTCCTCACCAGAGTATCGTCTCTCTCTCCTCACCAGAGTATCGTCTCTCCTCACCAGAGTATCGTCTCTTTCTCCTCACCAGAGTATCGCCTCTTTCTCCTCACCAGAGTATCGTCTCTCCTCACCAGAGTATCGTCTCTCTCTCCTCACCAAAGTATCGTCTCTCTCTCTTCACCAGAGTATCGTCTCTCTCTCCTCACCAGAGTATCATCTCTCTCTCCTCACCAGAGTATCGTCTCTCTCTCCTCACCAGAGTACGTCCCTCTCTCATCCTCACCAGAGTATCGTCCTCCTCTCTTCTCACCAGAAGTATCGTCTCTCTTCTCCTCACCAGAGTATCGTCTCTCTCTCCTCACCAGAGTATCGTCTCTCTCTCCTCACCAGAGTATCGACTCTCTCTCTTCACCAGAGTATCGTCTCTCCTCACCAGAGTATCGTCTCTCTCTCCTCATCAGAGTATCGTCTTTCTCCTCACCAGAGTATCGTCTTTCTCCTCACCAGAGTATCGTCTCTCTCCTCGCCAGAGTACCGTCTTTCTCCTCACCAGAGTATCGTCTCTCTCCTCACCAGAGTATCGTCTCTTTCTCCTCACCAGAGTATCGTCTTTCTCCTCACCAGCGTATCGTCTTTCTCCTCACCAGAGTATCGTCTCTCTCTCCTCATCAGAGTATCGTCTTTCTCCTCACCAGAGTATCGTCTTTCTCCTCACCAGAGTATCGTCTCTCTCTCCTCATCAGAGTATCGTCTTTCTCCTCACCAGAGTATCGTCTCTCTCTCCTCATCAGAGTATCGTCTTTCTCCTCACCAGAGTATCGTCTTTCTCCTCACCAGAGTATCGTCTCTCCTCACTAGAGTATCTCTTTCCCTCACCAGAGTATCGTCTTTCTCCTCACCAGGTAATCGTCTCTCTCCTCACCAGAGTATCGCCTCTCTCTCCTCATCAGAGTATCGTCTTTCTCCTCACCAGAGTATCGTCTCTCTCCTCACCAGAGTATCGTCTCTCCTCACTAGAGTATCGTCTTTCTCCTCACCAGAGTATTGTCTCTCTCCTCACCAGAGTATCGCCTCTCTCTCCTCATCAGAGTATCGTCTTTCTCCTCACCAGAGTATCGTCTTTCTCCTCACCAGAGTATCGTCTCTCTCCTCACCAGAGTATCGCCTCTCTCTCCTCATCAGAGTATCGTCTTTCTCCTCACCAGAGTATCGTCTCTCTCCTCACCAGAGTATCGTCTCTCCTCACTAGAGTATCGTCTTTCCTCCTCACCAGAGTATCGTCTCTCTCCCTCAACCAGAGTATCGCCTCTCTCTCCTCATCAAGTATCGTCTTTCCCTCACCAGAGTATCGTCTCTCTCCTCACCAGAGTATCGTCTCTCCTCACTAGAGTATCGTCTTTCTCCTCACCAGAGTATCGTCTCTCTCCTCACCAGAGTATCGCCTCTCTCTCCTCATCAGAGTATCGTCTTTCTCCTCACCAGAGTATCGCCTCTCTCTCCTCACTAGAGTATCGTCTCTCTCTCCTCATCAGAGTATCGTCTTTCTCCTCACCAGAGTATCGTCTCTCTCTCCTCATCAGAGTATCGTGTTTCTCCTCACCAGAGTATCGTCTCTCTCCTCACCAGAGTATCGTCTCTCCTCACCAGAGTATCGTCTCTCTCTCCTCACCAAAGTATCGTCTCTCCTCACCAGAGTATCGTCTCTCTCTCCTCACCAAAGTATCGTCTCTCTCCTCACCAGAGTATCGTCTCTCTCTCCTCACCAAAGTATCGTCTCTCTCCTCACCAAAGTATCGTCTCTCCTCATCAGAGTATCGTCTCTCTCCTCACCAGAGTATCGTCTCTCTCCTCACCAGAATATCGTCTCTCTCTCCTCACCAAAGTATCGTCTCTCTCCTCACCAGAGTATCGTAACAGATCCTGTCTTCACTCACATTTCTACCACTGTTCCCCCCACTTACAACTACCACCAATACTTCCACTACCAGCTTTACCTCTGCCACTACTACTCCACTACTTTCTTGCACTCTCTGTTCCGTCCCTGTCCTCCTCTCCTATATACACAGGCTCCCTCACTTTCCTGTTCTAGTGTGACTTGTAAATGGTCCAAGTCGGATCTAAACGTCGTCAAAAGCTTCTGTGTGCGGGTCAGGTGAAAGTACACACGTGCAACTGTGACAGTTTACTGTGGAAACGTTTCGCTCACCATGAGCTTTGCCACGCCAAGGAAAGCGAAACGTTGTCAGAGTAAAATGTCACATAATCTGCACCTTGTCTCCTTTTGCCTAACATATTGTCGGTAATTCTACCAACATTAAACACTATATGCAGGTTGTGTATAGTCTCAGATCCTCTTAGTCTGACACTATTATACAGTCACCACCTACAAGCACCATGCTAAGTTTAACATGAATATTCATGCCACATTTTTGTCTGGTATGTAATTTCGTTGAGAGGACGTAGATAAAAAAATATTGAAGAAAATTTATTTTTTTCATGAACATGTATGTATAAAATTACAATTTAAATAAAATGCTATAATAATGGCAGAGATTTTTGCAAGAAGAAAATATATCCAGAAATATTGAATATCGTAATGACGATAAAAGTTATTGTTAATGTACAGTGGACAGGTGTTGTTAATATCATCTTCAATTAGAAACAAAGACTGTCTCATTAGCTGTCTCATTAGCTGTCTCATTAGCTGTCTCATTAGCTGTCTCATTAGCTGTCTCATTAGCTGTCTCATTACCTGTCTCATTAGCTGTCTCATTAGCTGTCTCATTACCTGTCTCATTAGCTGTCTCATTAGCTGTCTCATTAGCTGTCTCATTAGCTGTCTCATTAGCTGTCTCATTACCTGTCTCATTACCTGTCTCATTACCTGTCTCATTAGCTGTCTCATTAGCTGTCTCATTAGCTGTCTCATTAGCTGTCTCATTAGCTGTCTCATTAGCTGTCTCATTACCTGTCTCATTACCTGTCTCATTACCTGTCTCATTACCTGTCTCATTACCTGTCTCATTAGCTGTCTCATTAGCTGTCTCATTAGCTGTCTCATTAGCTGTCTCATTACCTGTCTCATTACCTGTCTCATTACCTGTCTACCTGTCTCATTACCTGTCTCATTACCTGTCTCATTACCTGTCTACCTGTCTCATTACCTGTCTCATTACCTGTCTCATTACCTGTCTACCTGTCTCATTACCTGTCTCATTACCTGTCTCATTATCCTTGATTGATAGAATTAGTTGCTCGGATGAATGAATAAATGGATGGATGGATGAATGAATGGATGAATGAATGGATGGATGGATGGATGGATCAATGGATGGATGAATGAATGGATGGGTGGATGGATGAATGGATGAATGAATGGATGGATGAATGGATGGATGGATGAATGGATGAGTGAATGAATGAATGAATGAATGAATGGAATGAATGAATGAATGGAATGAATGAATGAATCAATCAATCAATGGAATGAATGAATGAATGGAATGAGTGGATGGATGAATGGAATGAATGAATGAATGAATGAATGAATGAATGGAATGAGTGGATGGATGAATGGAATGAATGAATGAATGAATGAATGAATGAATGAATGAATGAATGAGTGGATGGATGAATGGAATGAATGAGCAATGATGGATGGATGGATGAATAAACACTGGTAAAATCACCAACAATATTGCAGACAAAACGACACAAGAACAACTAACTGAAGTATTCATTACGACTACATTTCGCTCACGAGAAGCTTTATCAAGCCAATAACGGAGACCGAAACGTAGTCATAAAGCCTAATCAGCTTTTTCTTGTATTTTTTCTTTTTACCCAACACGACGGATGAACTTACCGGGAGTATGGCAGCGTAGAACTCTCTCTGTGTCTCCTTCTCTAAACTGCTGCTGCTGCTGCTACTGCTGCTACTGCTGCTACTGCTGCTGTTGCTGTTGTCCCAGATAGCATCAGTAATGTCATAATACTCAGTAGAAACAGTCGAAGCTTCAGGGAACGATGTTGTGATAATATTGAGGGTAAACATGTTCAACAATCTGTATATCACCCAAAGTCGATATTCAGATTTCCTCTGGACTTATTGAGCTGATAGACAAGTTCACTTAAGCCTATAACTTTCTCGAGGGAACATTACGATCTCAAGTGATAGTAAATGAATTGTGCTAGAGACTTAGAAGCTATTTTGGTTGTTGCAGGCAGTTCTAGATATCTCCACGAACACATATCTATATGAAGGTCACACGTGTTTAAGAGACGACTTTCAATTTGTTTCTGAATGTGCATTCACGTGTGCAGTCTGACGGAGGCTTTTAGCATAAAATGTACACATATTAAGTAGTCTGTATAACTGCTGTTCACTTAGCCTGTGGAATTTCCCAGTTTCCTCAAGCATAAGTTACATTTGTGTTTTCAGAAGGGACTCTGTCCTGAGAGATGAAGTGAAGCACAAGCTGGGTGAGGCAGGAGTAAGTTAAGCAGCGGTAAGGGTGAAATGGAGTAATAACAAACAGGACTTGATGAATGTTGTACTAAGGTCAGAACCCTGGAGCACAGGCAGTCAGCAGCAGCAGTGCTCTCTCTCAGGGTTCAGAAGCTGTAGCACAGGTAGTCTGCAGCAGTGCTTGCTTTCAGGGTCCAGGAGCCATAGCACAGGTAGTCAGCAGCAGCAGTGTTCGCTCTCAGGGTTCAGGAGCTGTAGCACAGGTAGTCGGCAGCAGCAGTGTTCGCTCTCAAGGTCCAGGAGCTGCAACACACGTAGTCAGCAGCAGCAGTGCTCGCTCTCAGGAACCAGGAGCTATAGCACAGGTAGTCAGCAGCAGCAGTACTCACTTCAGGGCCAAGGAGCTGTAGCACAGGTAGTCAGCGGCAGCAGTGCTCGTTCCCTTGGTCCAGGAGCTGTAGCACACGTAGTCAGCGGCAGAGGTGCTCATTCTCAGGCTCCATGAGCTGTAGCACAGGTAGTGAGCAGCAGCAATGATAGTTCTCAGCGCCCAGGAGCTGTAGCACAGGTAGTCAGCAGCAGCAATGCTAGTTCTCAGCGTCCAGGAGCTGTAGCACAGGTAGTCAGCAGCAGCAATGCTCGTTCTCAGCGTCCAGGAGCTGTAGCACAGGTAGTGAGCAGCAGCAATGATAGTTCTCAGCGCCCAGGAGCTGTAGCACAGGTAGTCAGCAGCAGCAATGCTAGTTCTCAGCGTCCAGGAGCTGTAGCACTGGTAGTCAGCAGCAGCAATGATAGTTCTCAGCGTCCAGGAGCTGTAGCACAGGTAGTCAGCAGCAGCAATGCTAGTTCTCAGCGTCCAGGAGCTGTAGCACTGGTAGTCAGCAGCAGCAATGATAGTTCTCAGCGTCCAGGAGCTGTAGCACAGGTAGTCAGAAGCAGCAATGATAGTTCTCAGCGTCCAGGAGCTGTAGCACAGGTAGTCAACAGCAGCAATGATAGTTCTCAGCGTCCAGGAGTTGTAGCACAGGTAGTCAGAAGCAGCAGGGCTCTCAAGATCTCGGCTCTCCCACCCTCACTCCATCTGTCAGGAAACAAGATAAAGCAAGCTAACAATCCTGTAAGTCATCAGTTGGAATTCGACAAGATTCATCAACTGAAAATGAAAGTGAAGATCAGGTCATGAAACATATTCTGTGTACATAATTTTTTTATCGAGGCACCTCCCTTGAATCCCTGCAGGAGGGAAGGTTCGTGGAAATTACACTTCATAATTAGGGATTGGCCAAAGTATCGATATCAGTATCGGCGGGCATAGGCCATTTTTACGGAATCGGTGAAAAAATGGCCGATACCAGCCGATATTCTTAAAATATTAATAGATGTGTTTTAACAATTTCAAAATTAACACTCCCTCACGATTGTGAGGGCTATTCAAACACACACACACACACACACACACACACACACACACACACACACACACACACACACACACACACACACACACACACACACACACACACACACGACATACAAAATACTGAGAGGAATTGACAAGGTGGACAAAGACAGGATGTTCCAGAGATTGGACACAGTAACAAGGGGACACAGTTGGAAGTTGAAGACACAAATGAACCACAGGGATGTTAGGAAGTATTTCTTCAGCCACAGAGTAGTCAGTAAGTGGAATAGTTTGGGAAGCGATGTAGTGGAGGCAGGATCCATACATAGCTTTAAGCAGAGGTATGATAAAGCTCACGGCTCAGGGAGAGTGACCTAGTAGCGATCAGTGAAGAGGCGGGGCCAGGAGCTCGGACTCGACCCCCGCAACCTCAACTAGGTGAGTACACACACTACTCTGGCCCACCACACAGTCCACCACTCCACCCCCTCAGGCATTTCCCCTCACCCCCCTCTCTCTTTTATCACCTACCTACCACTCTACCTCCTCTCTACCCCACTCTCTCTCTACTTCCTTCGGCCCCCTGCAACAAAAATTAGGTGATTACACCGCACACACTGAACACTCACACAAAAAACACCCACACCCCTCACACGAAAGAAGGTAGGAAACTCACAAGAAATGATCAAGAGGTATGTGAGGAGCTCAACATGACAGGAACTACTCTGGGAAGACAGAACAGAGGGGGACACCAACAGGGAATATACCAACAGGTGTTGAATGACATAAACACAGCTGAGGAGGAGGTGAAGAAGCTGCTAAGTGACCTCGATTCCTCAAAGGCAGTGGGACCGGACAACTCCCCGTGGGTCTTAAGAGAAGGAGCAGAAACGCTGTGTGTGCCACTAACCACAATCTTCAACACATCCCTTGAAACTGGGCAACTACATGAAGTATAGAAGACGGCAAATGTAGGTCCCATTTTTTTTTTTAAACAGTGACAGAAAAGAGGCATTGAACTATGGACCAGTGTTACTGACGTGTATAGTATGCAAAGTCATGGAGAAAATTATCAGGAGGAGAGTGGTAGAGCACCTGGAACGGAACAAGAGCATAAACGACAACCAGCACGGATTCATGGAAGGTAAATCCTTTGTCGCAAACCTTCTGGAGTTTTGTGATAAAGTAACAGAAGTAAGACACGAGAGAAACGGGTGGGTTGATTGCATTTTCTTGGACTGCAAGAAGGCCTTCGACACAATTCCTCACAAGAGATTAGTGCAGAAGCTAGAGGATCAGGCGCATATAACAGGAAGAACACTGCAGTGGATCATAGAATACCTGACAGGGAGGCAAGAACGAGTCATAGTACGTGATGAGGTATCACAGTGGGTACCTGTGATGAGCGGGGTCCCACAGGGGTCGGCCCTAGAACCAGTGTTATTTTTGGAATAAGTGAATGACATGATGGAAGGGATAGACTCAGAAGTGTCCCTGTCTGCAGTTGATGTGAAGTTAATGAGAATTAAAACATATGAGGATCAGGCAGGACTTCAAAGAGACCTGGACAGGCTGCAGGCCTGGTCCAGCAAATGGCTCCTTGAGTTCAACCCCACCAAGTGCAAAGTCATGAAGATTGGGGAAGGGCAAAGAAGACCACAGACGGAGTACAATCTAGGGGGCCAGAGCCTGCAAACCTCACTCAAGGAAGAGGATCTTGGGGTGCGTATAACACCGGGCACATCTCCTGAGTGCACAGCAACCAAATAACTGTTGCAGCATACGGGAGCCTGACAAACTTAAGACAGCATTCCGACATCTAAATAAGAAGTCATTCAGAACCCTGTCCACTGTGTACGTTAGGCCCATATTGGAGTATGCAGGGCCAGTTTGGAACCCTCACCTAACCAAGCATGTGAGGAAACTAGAGAAAGTGCAAAGGTTTGCAACAAGACTAGTTCCGAAGCTAAGGGGTATGTCCTACGAGGAGAGGCTAATGGAAATCAACCTGACGACACTGGAAGACAGGAGAGATAGAGGGGAAATGATAACGACATACAAAATACTGAGAGGAATCGACAAGGTGGACAGAGACAGGGGACACAGCAACAAGGGGTCACAGTTAGAAGCTGAAGACTCAGATGAATCACAGGGACATTAGGAAGTATTTCTTCAGCCACAGAATCGTCAGAAAGTGAAATAGTCTAGGAAGTGATGTACTGGAGGCAGGATCCATACATAGATTTAAGAAGAGGTATGATAAAGCGCGTGGAGCAGGAAGAGTGACCCGTATGGACCAGTGAAGAGGTAGGGCCAGGAGTTATGACTCGACCCCTGCAAACACAACTAAGTGAGTACACACAAACAAACACACATTATCGACAAGTGCCTTTCACAAGCAGCAATTAACGTAGGCCAAATAATGATTAATAACATTATCATCTCAGAGAAACTAAGTTATTACATTTTTAACCTTACTGTGTTATTTAATACTCATTGCACAATAAACATCCCCTTATATATTGAACACAATCATTATAATTTTAAAAATGTATAGGAAAAATATCAGTATCAATATGACTCTCGAAATACATATCCCAGTAATCTTATATACATGTATAGAACCTTACATGAGGGATTAGGCCAGTATGATACAGCAGGCCGGGCGATACCTTTTACAGACAAATTGTTTAGGCAGTTCAAGGCAAAATGTAGACGTCTACTATTCCGTTTTTAAAGCATTCAATATGATGCTCAGCATCTCAAACTGGTGATATCTTTTTATTTACTGGTTGATCGAACCTCCTATAAAAGAGTTATCAAGTCATGACAAATCTGCCAAAAAGGAGGCTTAGGTTAGGCTTACCTCGTAGTGGGTAGGACTAAAAATTTACCAAGTAGTATTTACTCTCTTCTGTATTCTCAAGCATCAGAAGTCAAGAGTAACAGTTATAGAAATTGAAATAGCTAATAATAATTGATTTTGATTGCTTAGTTAATCTTAAGTTAATTTTAAGCCAGCCCGTAATGCTATGCATATAAGTGGCTTTGGCATGCTGCTCTTACCTGTATTTTTTTGTACCTCTGTTTGTATGCTTAAATTAATAAATAAATAAATAAATAAAGAACTAGACTCGTTAAAAGTAAACATACGCCTCTGAAAAGCATAAATAACAAAAAAAGGCACAATAACGTCGTTGTAAGCTTCTCTCTTTTATGTGCGGGTTATTTGTGTTAAAGCATAAACAGAAAGATACTCTTAGGAAGCTGCCTAAGCACAGGGGAAGACAGATGGATGGGAAACAGATAATGGCAGGTAAGACAATGGTATCGGATGGAATTTAAGTGTGAACGGAAGTGTTGGAAAGCTTCATCGCGGTTGTGCTAAGCACGCCAGGGTAATCAGCACTGGGAGTTCAAAATTATCCAGATTTATTGAAATGACCAGATTATGAATCCTAAGGACGCGCTACTCAGATTAAAAATTAATGTAATGCAGAAGCTATCTGAAGACGGATTTGTATTTTTTCGAATCGATACAGTAAAGAACACCAACAACAATCACACCATCATCACCACAAAAGCAAGAGGATATGAAGTACAGATACGTTGCACTTTCTGAACTGTAGTGGAGGCACTCTTCTTGCAAGACAGTGATGGAGTGAATGATGATGAAAGTGTTTCTTCTTCGGGTCAACTTGCCTCTGTGGAAAACATCCGATGTGTTAATAAGAAAAATAAATAAGCAATTAAGTAGCTATCAAAGAAATTTTACGAGGACAGCAATATTTCTTATACAATTATTTCATAAAGTGAAAAAACAAAATGTAATGAAATTCATGTAGTTAATCCACTTTAGATACACTTAGAAGTCTGAGGAGAGTAAAAGAAGGATAATTCGGTAAGCACACAGCAATTCTTTACTCCCAAAGCGTTGAAGTGTAGGAAATCAGGTGTTATTCCGCAGCTGTTGCTTGCCACCAATTTTCGCTTGGGGGTAATGGAGTTATTGAGGTGCTCCCAACGCGAATGGGTCTAGGGCCCATCTGGCCGTGCCCAACAAATCGTGAGTACGGCTTTGAACTCAGGTAGGGCTTGGAGGGGCTGCAAATTTTCTGAAGAAATAAGTCCTTTCTAAAATTTTCTCTTATACGTTTACAAGATATTTTTTTTTAATTTATGTTAATATAAAAATTAATAATTTTGCACCAAAAGAACCTTAGAAAACTTACGTAACCTTATGATAACAAGCGCTATTTAATTTAGCCTAATCCAACTAAATATATTTTAGACAAGTTTACAATAATTCAATAATAAACCAACACAATGAAATATATTTTTTTTAGTTAGGTTCAGAAATATTTTTTTGGGAAATTATTGCATACATAAATTTTCGCTTGCCTCATTCGGCAAGAAGAGCGTTGCTATTTAAGCCCATACCGCAAGTTTTACCAATTCGGCACGACATATATATATGTCGTTCCGAATTGGAGCTGAACACAGAAGCCATAAAAGTATAGTAAAACAATGAGTTATGTTCTTAAGATTCTTGCTGCTTTTCCAAAACTTGACAAAGGATTTCCGTCAAGGTCATCTGACTTAGTGACTTTAGTCGACCAGTTTCTTTCAAGCCTCTGCTGTTTCTGTCCACCTTACAGTAAAAGTCGGTCCCTGTGTGTGAACTGACTTTTGTTGGTAACATCCAGGGAAAAATAATGTTAGAAAACACAACTTCCTTTGAAACGTCATATCCTGTGTAAGAAAACCCTTCAGTTGTGTGTTAGAAACTCCAGTACCTGCTGGAAGTATTTAAGTGTGATGGGTAAAAGATATCAGTGAATAATACACCAATAACCCGCACACAGTTAATAGTACAAGTTGGACCGAAACGTCCTTATAAGCTTCCTTCTTCTATGTGCGGGTTATGTGTGCATTGTTCCAGTCACGGTATTGTGACTGTTTGTTCCTCGGATCGTGGAAACTAATGTCATCAATAAAATAATTGTTGTGAGTACCCTGCAGACTTGCTCTTAGGGACGGGGTCTAGCTCTTGTATCATGGAAACTAACTCACGAAATCGTCATAACACGATTGCAAATAAATTAGAGAATATGTGTGTTAACACACTGGCCTGAGGGTTTTAGGACTCACTAGCCATGAGTTCAAACCCCATCCGTTCCTTAATTTATGGAAACAATCTGTGTACAAAGCCCACTAAAACCGTACGCCTTCCTTTAAGTAGAATACACCAGGGTCCCCGAAACCCTCTCCAGGTAAACTCCAGAGCTAAAAGTTTAAAGGCAATATGATAAGTCATTCTTAAGTAATAGACCCCAAAAAAATATTGACACCATCTTTATTATAGTTATATATCTAAAACCAACACAGTCTAAAACCAATCAAAATATATCTCTAAGACAATTAAGTACTGAAAGTTTGAAATCGATCTGAAGAGGCATTCCCTAGTTGTAAGGCAAAACGTAAATTAAATTCATTAGGCAAAACTAGAAAATTGGTATTTAAGAGGCCATCAACAATGTGGAGATCATTTTGAGCAATATACATCAAGTCTGAAAATGGGAATTAAAATAGGCATAGACCAGTTTTTGTACAGATACAAATAATCTCAGTTTTTTAACCGTTATTAAAACGGCTAATATAAGCCTACACAGCCTACATCTGTGTTAAATCTTTGTATAAGATGAATTAACTTTTAAAGTCGTTCAGAAGATACATGCTAAAGTTATTTAATTATAATATTACACCAGTTAATAAATAAAATAGTTCAAAGTGTACCCACACAATATGAATATTCTTCTAATTTTAATACAATGTTGTTGAAAGTGGAAAATCTATCGGAAAAACTTTCCTAAGGGCACTTGTGTAAAACAAAAAAACTTTGCTTTAATATGCACCAGCACTAAAAATTTAAACCCGATCAGACAAAATGTTCTCAAGTTATGTGCTAAAACCTGGATGGAAAAAAATCTAAAAAACCACTAAGGGTATCCTTAGTGGTAACGCACTGCCTACCTTGTTCCAAGGTTCGTAGGTTCGAGTCTCCTTCAGCCAGAGATCAGTGTTTATATATATATATATATATATATATAAATATATATATATTAAATATATATATATATAATATATTTTATATATATAAAATATATATATATAAATATATATATATATATATATATATATATAAATATATATTTATATATATGACTGTGAAACAAAAACCTGTAACTGTTTTGCATGATGGTAGGATTGCTGGCTTCTTTTTCTGTCTCATAAACACGCTAAGATAAACAGGGATATCTTGCTACCCCTACTTACACTTTGGTCACACTTCACAGACACGCACATGCATATATTTTAATACATACATTAGGTTTTTCTCCTTTTTCAAAATAGCTCTTGTTCTTTTTTATTTCTTCTATTGTCCATGGGGAAGTGGAAAAGAATCTTTCCTCCGTAAGCCATGCGTGTCCTATGAGGCGACTAAAATGCCGGGAGCAAGGGGCTATAACCCCTTCTCCTGTATACAATTACTAAAAAAGGGGAAGAAGAAAAACTTTATAAAACTGGTTGCTTAAATGTGCGTGGATGTAGTGCGGATGACAAGAAACAGATGATTGCTGATGTTATGAATGAAAGAATTTGGGATGTCCTGGCCCTAAGCGAAACAAAGCTGAAGGGGGTAGGAGATTTTCAGTGGGGGGAAATAAAATGGGATTAAATCTGGAGTATCTGAGAGAGTTAGAGCAAGGAAGGGGTAGCAGTAATGTTAAATGATCATTATGGAAGGAGAAAAGAGAATATAATGTGTAAATTCAAGAATTATGTGGATTAAAGTAAAGGTGGATGCGAGAAGGGGGTCATATTAAGCGTGTATGCACCTGGAGAAGAAGGGAATGCAGAGGAGAGAGAGAATTTTGGGAGATGTTAAGTGAATGTATAGGAGCCTTTGAACCAAGTGAGAGAGAATTGTGGTAGGGGACTTGAATGCTAAAGTAGGAGAAATTTTTTAGAGAGGGTGTGGTAGGAAAGTTTGGGGTGCCAGGTGTAAATGATAATGGGAGCCCTTTGATTGAACTTTGTATAGAAAGGGGTTTAGTTATAGGTAATATTTTTATTTTAAGAAAAAGAGGATAAATAAGTAAAACACGATATGATGTAGGCGAAATGAAGTATTTTTGTTGGATTATGTATTGGTAGATAAAAGACTGTTGAGTAGACTTCAGGATGTACAAGTTTATAGGGGGGCCACAGATATATCAGATCACTTTCTAGTTGTAGCTACACTGAGAGTAAAAGGTAGATGGGATAAAAGGAGAATAGAAGCATCAGGGAAGAGAGAGGTGAAGGTTTATAAAACAAAAGAGGAGGCAGTTAGGGTAAGATATAACAGCTATTGGAGGATAGATGGGTTTAATGAGAGCATAGGCAATGGGGTCGAAGAGGTATGGGGTAGGTTTAAAAATGTAGTTTTTAGAGTGTTCAGCAGAAGTTTGTGGTTACAGGAAAGGGGGTGCAGGGGGGAAAGAGGAGCGATTGGTGGAATGATGATGTAAAGAGAGTAGTAAGGGAGAAAAAGTTAGCATATGAGAAGTTTTTAAAAAAGTAGAAGTGATGCAAGGAGGGAAGAGTATATGGAGAAAAAGAGAGAAGTTAAGAGAGTGGTAAAGCAATGTAAAAGAGAGGCAAATGAGAGAGTGGGTGAGATGTTATCAACAAATTTTGTTGAAAATAAGAAAAAGTTTTGGAGTGAAAATTAACAAGTTAAGAAAGCCTAGAGAACAAATGGATTTGCCCAGTTAAAAATAGGAAAAGGGGAGAGTTATTAAATGGAGAGTTAGAGGTATTGGGAAAAAGGAAGGAATATTTTGGGGAAATTGTTAAATGTTGATGAAGATGGGAAGCTGTGATTTCGTGTATAGGGAAAAGGAGGAAAACATCTTGTAGGAGTGAGGAAGAGCCAGTTGTGAGTGTGGGGGAAGTTCGTGAGGCAGTAGGTAAAATGAAAGGGGGTAAGGCAGCCGGGATTAAAGGGGATAAAGATAGAAATGTTAAAAGCAGGTGGGATATAGTTTTGGAGGGGTTGGTGCAATTATTTAATAAATGTATGGAAGAAGGTAAGGTACCTAGGGATTGGCGGGAGAGCATGCATATTTCCTTTGTATAAAGGCAAAGGGGATAAAAGAGAGTGCAAAAATTATGGGGGGATAAGTCTGTTGAGTGTACCTGGTAAAGTGTATGGTAGAGTTATAATTGAAAGAATTAAGAGTAAGACGGAGAATAGGATAGCAGATGAAC